TTGTTTCTTGAGGGACCTGAAAAGGAAGATGGATTAGTGTTGGTGCGTGACCGCAGAGTCCAAGGGACAACTGCTTGAGGCCGGTCACGCACGGCCTTTTTATGAAAGGTATTTTGAGGATTAGCTCCGTTCTTAAAGGCCCTTAGTGGGCACCCTTACCCAGGGAGACGGAAATCCGTGAGTTAGGGGGAGTGTGACATTTTTAGGGCCGACCTTTTCTAACCCTTCCTTCCTTGTGAGAAGGCAGCATCGCTGCAGATGCTGGTTGTCCGAGGGAAACACCTTACTGCTGTCACACCCCTCTGCAGTCAGCAGTACGACTTCGCCCTCAGACCTTGGGTAGCTGCTTTTAGTCTCATCGTTCTCCAATCGACCAGCCTGGCATGGTAGGACCTGCAGGAACATATGTTCCAGCCAGTATAGCTCGGTTGGGTCATCACGATAGGCAAGCCCGACCACCACGTCAAGGTAGCAGCTTCGGTCGGGTAGTAAGGGAATTAGATGTAATCGGAGAGGTTAGGATTAGAAGATACTATTCAAGAAGTATGATTCAGTGAGAAAAGTTTAGAGAGTCGAAACTAAAGGTGTTGAAGAATCCAGAAGATTAGGGTTTGAGAGAACACAAAGAATAAATGCACCGGCGCCATTGCGAACGATTTTGAGCCATGTCATTCAAGGTCTCTAACCATCGATTATTATCATCTCGCGGACCCCAACCAGGTAGTCGACAATTACCGACATGATGATAAAAAAACGCAAGTATTATAATATTATGTGTGTCATTATTGATAATATAGCTGTGTCAAACTAGGGAAGACAGTGAGACATGTAAATGGTTAATTGATATGAAGATTTGTGCGGGGTTTTTTTATAAAAAAAAAATAGATTATCTGTTGAATTCATCAAAAATTTGACTGAATAATTGATGACAACCAGTGGACATTGAACAAATCTGTTTGTTGTAGGCATTATTCGCCAATCAGCAAATTGTCAGCTTAAAACAGCTGACTATTTATTGTGCTACCTGTAAGGTTACCCATAAATACGATTACAGAGCTCGAGAAAATGATATTGTCGAAAAGAAAATTTCCTTTCCTGAAAAGTCCTTTTTTTCCTTTTTAATAAATACACGAGAGTAGTGGAGGCAATGACACCTTAATAAGCAACTCAAATTTCGATTCAATGAATTACAAACCTGAATAAGGTGTGTTTTCCAGCTAGCTGAGTACACACACTAATATGTGATTAATTCTTAACTTGCAATGGCTGTTTAGCGTAACTATGCTACAGAACTGACCTTTAACAATGTTACGCCTACGCCATAAGTGACGCAGGTTAACAAAAGGCTCGATTGGCTTTTGCTAACCTGCGTCACTTATGGCGTAGGCGTGATATCCGTTATCTAATCAAAGGACGAGTTTACTATGCAGCAGTTCGCTCCGTTCTCCTACATGGCTGTGAAACATGGCCAGTGAGAGTAGAAGATATTCGAAGGTTACTGGTTTTCGATCATACGTGTCTTCGAAGCATTGCTCGTATACCGTGGGACAACCGAGTAAGCAATGCTGTCGTTAGGAATCGGGTGCTAGGTAAGAATGGCAGATCAATCGATGAAGTGGTGAAACTTCATCAGTTGAGGTGGTTGGGACATGTGTTGCGTATGCCTAACCACCGACTACCTCGACGAACTATGTTTTGTAGTGTAGGAATAGGTTGGAAGAAAGTTAGGGGCGGCCAAACCAAAACATGGCAGAAATCCATGAAGTCATTGACGAGTGGACTGAGTCATGTTGGTAGATGTAGACTACCTGGTTGGGGTCCGCGAGATGATAATAATCGATGGTTAGGTACCCTGAATGACATGGCTCAAAATCGTTCGCATTGGCGCCGGTGCATTTATTCTTTGTGTTCTCTCAAATCCTAATCTTCTGCATTCTTCAACACGTCTAGTTTT